GGTTTAGTTCATAAATCAGCTGATTTTGAGTGCTCGAAGCACAAACCAAACCTTCACACAAGGTCGGCAGCTTCGCCATGGCCAAAACTGCTGCCATCATCTTCTTTAATAGCCGATAATATAGGTATCCGCCGGCGCCAAAAAGCAGAAACTCTGCTATCATGATTCAAATGATATAAACATCTTTGGCATCCTCCTGAGACAATAAGGAAAGGCACATCAACTTCAAAACCCCCCATGGATCCATGACGTACCCTGCCGTGTGCATGCCAGCGGGGAATGAGGGTTCTCCAGGACACTGTCACTTGGTTGAAAATTTTTTATAGATCGTGTTGAAAGTCCAGCTGACCAGATCCATGACAGCAGTTTACGATTCAGAATATGTGTATATAGAAGGTCTGATACACAAGACAGAGAGCAAAAACAGCAGGAGGCAGACAGGAGAGGGGAAAAAAGCATCCGTCTTGCTCAAGAGCGAGGGAAGAAAAAATTTATATATATATACTTTGTATAATGGCTTGTCAATCTAGCTGTGTATTTGAGTATAGACATGGTGTCGTGGTTTAATTTTTTTGTACTTTTGTGTTTGAACTTTTAAATGCACATTTTTTTGTAGCCAAAATGTACATAAAGTATAACACTGATCTGAGTACCATGCCCAAATCCTTCAAGGTCCCATGTGTCACAATCTATTTTCATTTCTTGTTCGTGTTTTTCTTTGTGTTCAGTTTGTTTCTGTGGCTCCCTGTGTTTCCTGTAAATTCCCAGTACTTTCTCTCAGACTGTGTCTGCTCCACAGTCCTTCCCCGCCCACTTACACCTGTCCCCTGTTGTCATTAAGCTGTCTCTCCTCACCTCACCAGCCCCTGCATTAGCCTAGCCTTTAGTTTGTCAATCTGGTCAAAATTAAACTCTATTTCTTTAAACTGAGGCAGAAAATAACCAAAACAACCTGATCAGCGTAAATTAACATAACTAATGCTACAGCAACAACTTCAGTGATAGATTTTTTTGGCTTTTTACTGAGAGTCAATAGAGAATTTAGTGGCTGTTTTTTTTTATTTATTTTTTTTAAATAATCTGTTATGTAACCATCATTCCACCTCTGAACAATCTAATAACTTCCTGGCTCCTTCTTTAGATACGGCTTTTCACTTTCAATCAAAAGGACAGAAAGTTTGCTTTTCATATAAGAGACAACATTAAAATCATATACACATCTTTCTAACTATGTGTTACGTGTTCACAGTGCTGATTGGTGAAGCGCCGTCACGCTGGGTAGGCTGGCATGCTAGTGTACAGTTTCTGCCTTCATTATCAGTGAGTGGTCACAGTAAGTTGAGTTACAACAATGGTCTCTGATGAGGGCCTGAGAGCATCTTCATTATGACCACTGCACAAAGGTAGCTGGTTTCACTACCATGCTCAAGTTAAAACACGTGTTATCGTTACAAGTGCAGCTCATCAACACAAACGTAAACCAAATTCTGTGCATCATATTCAGCACACCGTTCATTTTTTCTACACAAATTGACCTTCAATTCTTCCAACCCTTAACATTTCTATGGATTTTTTATCATCAAAATTGAATAAACCAATGAATAAATCTAGCAAGAGGCAGCACGGTGGCTCATTTGGTAGAGCTGCTGCCTCTTGGCAAGAAGGTTGCTGGATCAAATCCCAGCCGGGGGCCTTTCTGAATTGAGTTTGCATATTTTCTCTGTGCATGTGTGGGTTTTCTCCGGGTACTCTGGTTTCCTTCCACAGACCAAAAACATGCATGTTAGGCTGATTGGTAACTAAATTGTCCCTAGTGTGGGTGAGTGAATGGTTTGTCTCGTTTTGTCTCAATGTGTCCCTGTGATGGACAGGAGACCTGTCCAGGGTGTACCCCGCCTCTTGCAGAGAATCTGTTGGACATGGGCACCAGCGACCCCCTGCAACCTGAAAAGCAAGAAGCGGGTAAAGATGATGGAAGGATGGATAAATCTAACAAGGTTGACAGGTCTCGTCTTTTATCCAAAAGACTTCTTATCTTGCTTGTTCTCGGTGGAAGGCAGACGCGTCCTCTTCTACTCCATCCCTCGCTCCATCCCTGCTTTGCTCTTTGTCTTGTGAACTTTTTCAGAGCCCCTTTTTTTGCATACCTTCCAAATTGTAACGATGGATTTGATCAGCTGGTCTCTCAACAAAATTGGGCAGTTTTTCTCAATAGAGGATTGGAGGAGGACCCTCTTACCTCGACGGAAACATAATTGGATCTACGATAACTGGATTTTACTGTTTGGAGATGGTGGAAATCTGGATTGTCGAAAAATTGTGGAGAATGTGCTGAGCTTGGCAGCACTCAAACTCAAACTACACTATATCTGGTGCTGTATCAAGCTGAGCAGGCTGATCCTTATCAGGGCTGTGGAACTTTCTGGCAGTGGTCACAAACGATTGGAAGGAATAAATTTTGGAGAAGTTGTAAGCTCGACTTGGCGTAAGTAATCAAATTCAGCTGTTTGGAGTCGCCATGAGAGAATGTACTAGCGAGACTGTTAAGGCTAAAATGGACGTTTACGAGTTCAGCCTGACCCAAAACACTGTTGATATCAGAGACTGGACCAAGCCTTGGAAGGCGGACTATCTCAAATTTCTCCTTGGATGTTATGGAAACAAAGACGCTCTGTCCCCTTCCCCTCCCCAAGGTCTTGGACCTGTGACAGAGCTCAACCGAGCTGGCTGATAAATGGACACCTCTTATCAGGACTATGGCTTGGGGGTGGAGGGGTGGGGGGCTCTGGACTGTGCTGTGCTATAACCTTCTCTCAAACACGACACTTCCACTGGCCTCCCTCGCTTCCTTAGGCGCAGCAACCTGGGAGATGTGAAGATGCCAAGGGCTGCATCGCTCACCTGGCAGCCGTGCTGGGACCCCCATCCCTTACCCACTCCATACACATATGTATTATGTCTGTTTATGTTGCTTTGCTGTAGTAGATATTTTTGATACCTCAACCTGTGCCCTGTCAAGGATACGGTGTGAGAGATCTTTTTTTTAATACCTCTCTTCTTGTGTTTTCTTCCCTTTTTCTTATCTAAGCAATAAGGGCAGCGCATCTTAGAAGCTGCAGCCCCCTGTACACTTCTGTCCATCTTTAGGACGGCTGTACGGAAAGTAATTACTGTGCAAGGATAATAAAAGCATTCTGATTCTTTTTCTTGGTTTCGCTTGGATGAACTCGCATCATAGTTTTGGCAAAGGTGTTTTTCGTTGGATCCCTTCCTGACACAACCCTCACCATTTACCCAGGCGTGGGACCAGCACAAGAGATACACTGGCTTGTGTTCCCTAGTGGCTGGTTTGTTAAATAATCTGTTATGTAACCATCATAAATGTTCGGTGCATGCATAGTTCGTAGATTACAAAAACAGAATCGTTACATTTACTTTTTTTAAACTTTAGGGTGCTTTTTATTCAACAGGCAGACCACTGAGACTGTGCAGCATGTTGTTGACAAGTTGCAAACGCATCCAAAGAAGTTGCAATCAGAGCAACTATTTGATGCTATTGTGTTACTTGTTCAAAACAAAATAGCACGCTTCTGTTCACACTTGTGTAGAAATATTTTGTAGAAGTGAGTTCAAAAGTGTCAAATGAAAGTCAACAGATGCAGAAGATGAAACTATTTTAATGCACGATAGCTTCCAATGTTTAACTTTTGGTAATTGTTAGCCTGCTAATCAGCTGTAATGAGTTACAAAATGTTCTTGTTCTAACCATTATCAGAGATTATCATGTTTTTAATCTCTAATCTTAACATTCAACATACAGTTTGAAAAAAGACGCTCTTTCTCAATCACTTGCAGCTCTGTGATGAATTAAAGCAACTTGCCGAGGAAGGAAACCGTGTTAAAAATGTTTTAGAAAGGAAGGAAGAAGTGGTGGCATCAGCTCATCATGCTGTCACAGACAAGAGGAACAGCAATTCGTTGAAAAACCAAATCCGTTCATGTGACACAGTCTGGTTTCTATCTGCTTTAAGCTAGTGTGTGCCAGAACATGCTGTTCTCTCAATGAGGCCTTCAGGCTTTGATTATGCAATGCATCTTGCAAAGGAAAGTGTAGTTCTTTGCACCTTTTTCGAACAACTTTTGCCTCGAGTTGATTTATTTTACAAAAAGAACACAACAGGTGCATTTCTCATCTTTCAGACTTTATTGTTCTTCCATTTGTGTGGTCCTCTAAAAACCATTTACAAATAAAATTCACTGCTCTTAAAGAGCTCGACACAAATATAAAACAGCTATATCTATTGGTGTCTACACATATTTACATTTTAGCATACAAATAAGAAAAGCATAGTAAATCATGAAAGTGCTTTAGTGTAGTGGAAGAGGAAGACGGTGGAAAGTGAAGTGTGTTGACAAAAAGCAAAAAAAACAAAAAAATGACAGAAAAATCAAATAAAAATACAAAATGATGTGCAGAGTATTGTGTACAGTACAAATCATTATGGCTGCAAAACTTCAAACAACATAGAAACTTAGCATATTTCACCAACAGTTAACTGCGTTCATAGCTTCATCGTGATAGACTAAATATCTATCGTAATAACTACATATAATGTAATATTCGTACTTTTAAAAGCACTACTGAGCATGTGCAACTAGACAGGCTGCACATGACTGACATTCATTCGATAGAAACAGTGAAAACACAAAAAAAAAGACAAACACCTACATAACCGGAGCTGCTCCGTGCGACAAACCTTTATACGATTAAAGTTAAGAATTAGAGCCAAACAATCTGTCACTAAAAACCGAGTCCACTGTTTGAAAAATGTCCACCAACCTTTTACATATGTCACTGAAGGCTCTGGGGAATCAAAGAAAAAGAGGGACTTCCTGGTTTCAACTGTTCATTTCAGCTTCTCTTAGTAATTTCAAACCAAGAGATTTCTGTATATTTGAAAAACATTTTGAGTAACAAGAGTCACATATGCGCAGGTGACTTAAACGTAGGACTCCTTGGTGTAGGAAAATTCCTCAAACACAGGTTGGCTGCATCTCCGGGATAGACCCTCGTGTTGACTCGTGGATACAGACTCGGACATGGCTCTCAGGCGAAAAGGCTGCTGCCGCTCGATAACGCTGTTCTGCGCTGCTTGAGCAAAGCAGTCTTGGTTGTTTAAGTACTCTCTGGCAGCTGGGAAGTCATAGTTCACAGATGAAGGCCGGGACCTCCTCCCCAGCGTCACAGCGTCTTGAACAGTCATGGAGCTGTAGTGTGGAGGGAGGCCCACGTTCTGCACCGCCTGCTCGTACGTTGGTGGTCTGCAGGGCAGCTTGCTGTCCACCTGCTTGAACACCTCGATTGCCGACAGAGGGCGTGGTTTTGGCAGAAGCTCTGCTGATGGATCTGCTTCGCTCTGCGAGTCTTCCTGAAGCGTCTCGCATGGGAAGCATTTCTCTTTCTGAGAGTCTTTCTTCAGGCTGTTCCTGCTGAATGCCCCCAAGCTCCTGGTCCTCATCAGGACTTTAGAGGTTTTCCTCATGGACTGTGACCGCTTCGTCTCTTCTGAAATCGGTCTGGGAATGTCCTGCTTGTCGTTGGCTTTCTTGGTGCATCCCGGTGACCCCATTGGGGAGCTGGTGAAAACAGAACCCTCCGATTGGTTCGAGGTAGTGCTCTCCAAGGAGGAGCAGGAACAGTCCTTGCCCATGTAGGGCAGTGGATCCATGTTGGAGGCGCTGCTCATTTTTGGAAAAGACGCAACCGAGTTGACTCCGCCTCGACTTTTGAGCAGGAAGGAGTCATCTGAGATCTGCTTTTTTAGAGGCTGTTCATCGAACTCCCCCCTCTCCGTGGAGCAGTCCTCGTGGCTCCTGGAGTGGCTGTGAAAGTTCTCGAGACCAGCAGAGAGGTGAATGATGGGCTCGGAGCAGCGACGGTTGAAGGGTTTTTTTGTGTCGAAAGCAGCGTCGGATTTCCACGATGAGGCAGTTGTGCTCGGACTGAGGGAGGAGCACGAAGAAGACGAGCCTCGGTCTCCATGCGTGGACCTCATCTTCTCCACGGCCTCGCCATCTCCGTCTGGATCAGTGCTGTCATACGCAGAGTCATGATGCACCGAGGAAAGGGAGTCTGCACGGTGAGAAAGACACGATTCACGATTAGACTTGCCTCATTCTATTCAATTTATCTAAACATTTAAGATGTCAGTGTCTTTTCAAGTTACCTTCATCGGTGTCCAGCAAACTTGGGATATTCTCTCCAAAAAGCTTAAAGTTCTCAATCAGGAACTGGGTTAGCTCTGCGATCTACAGAAAACAAACAAAAAAATACATCTTGATAAGCAACAGAAACAACACTGGTGAAGATTCTCAATCATCCAGACCATGGCACATCCTAAAAAATTTTAAAAGCAAAGAAACTGGATTATTTTCTGAATTAGATGTTCTGTTTCCCTTCTGAGGAACTTTTTCAATTCAAAAACACGAGTGTGTGGAAGTCCAAGCTTCAAACTGCATAAATTTAGACAAGTTAAGTTCATGTGCACATTTCCCTCCCTCCCCTACCTCCTGAGGGTCATTAGGGTTTTTGGCTGGCAAGAAAGATGTTTTGATCACATGCACGGAGATGTGAATTAGAGCGAAAAAGACCGACTATTAAGCTCAAACTTTTCTTGTAAAGACGCAAAACATTTGCTACAAAATGAAAGTAAAGTTGCTTTGTTTTTAATCTTTTTGGAAAAGTGCATCTTAAATAAGTTACGATACAATCCTGGCTATTTACAGTGCCTAATCTAGTTTTAAGTTTTGCTTTTCTCAGCTCCACTTGGCATTTGCCCAAGTGTGAATTAATTTGTGAAACCTCGTGAGGGTTTCTGCACCGTGAACCACAAAGCTTCAAAGCACCAAAAGTGAGAAAGCACATTCATATCAAGACTCTCTACCTTCTGCATCTTTTCCCTCTGCCCGTCCAGCGGGGTGTCGTCCAGCTGCAGCAGCGTGGGGCCGATGCACACCGCCAGGTTGTACGCATCCATCTTGTTGATGTCGGAGCTCTCGATGATGTGATGCAAGACACAGATTAGGTGCTGCAGGAGGAGTTTGTTGGGCCCCGGGAGATCATCAAACACCCTGATATAAAAAAAAAAGGAAGGAAGATTTTTTTTTTAAACAGGAAGAAGGTTAGCTTGGCGCTTTTTTTACTTGCTTAAAGTTTCTTCCCCTTTCTAAGCTGAAAGGGAGAAGTGGTTTTTATATGGTCAGTGGGTTGGAATGTTTTATAAAAGCCCACTCAGAAAAAACCATGCCTCGCTTTTGACCACATAACCATTGATGGAATACCCACAGATGTTCTTCCACATAAAAAATACCACAAATTCCATAAAATCAGGATGCAGGCGCATGAAACGGCACTGAATAGACACATTTGCAGGTATCGATTGCTTACTTTGTGATTTCCAGAGCTCTCTGCTGTGCGTCTTCATGCTCGAGAGCCGTTATCCACCTGTGGTAGAGTTCAGACTTCAGCAGGCTGCCAGGAAGCTCCTTCAGAAAACACTAACAGCAAGAGGGGAAATGGATGAAACTTATTAATGCAATCAAACATTGTTCAATAGCAGTAATATCCAGATATCTTTTGCAGATAAATGCTAGTAATGATGTTTTGACTCATAAAACAGGTGTGCAAAACTACCTTGAGCAGTCCAACGAGCAGGTTGACCGGCTGACCCTCCATGTCCACGTCCGAGCCGTTGTCGAGCTGCTCCCTGATGTCCTTCATGAGCCGGTTGTTGCACGGTTTACGGAACACCCCCTCCGTGGACGGGCCCCTCTTCCTCAGCAGCATCAACACATCCTGGCGGTAAAGGAGGTGGATGATTAATAAACAAGCAGCTCAGGTTCTCCTCATTACAGAGCAATTATGCATTTGAAACTTTGTCCCGTTTTAGCTACTAAAACAGGGAACTCCGTCAGGATGTAGTTATGTTTGACGTGTAACTCCGCTTACTGTGATGGGTTTGGGTAGTGAGTCGTCATTTGGGCAGATCTTGCAGAAGGGTTGTCCAAACAGCTGCGTCTTTGTGTCTTTGTCTGCCTGGCAGACTTTGTTGGTGGAGCCTTTTCTGAACTTCATCTTACTCCTCACCACATTCCACTTGTTTTCTAATGGAAGCAAAATGGCAAAATTCATTAATTTATTTGATTTAAAATGGATTTTTATCAAATAAGTGCAACCCAGCAAGACCAGACGTGCAAGACTCAATAAAAAGCGCAAATGGTGGTTTTGTCTAATCAGTTGTTATATTTCCTTTTTGTCTCTGTGGTTAAACATAGCAAACCTAACAAAGAGCCCTCCTCCTTCAATACGAAAAGACGTCTGCAGACTTTCAAACTCACCAGCAGGCTGCCGCTCGTCTTGATTGTTTAGCTGCTTTGAGAGAACGATCTTCGCATCGCCCTGGCAACAAAACAAAGGAAAAGAGATGTGGTGATGAGTGTGCAAGAGGAACATAAGAGCGCATGCAAAGGCAGAAAAAGAAGAAGGGGCCGTGCCTTTTTTTTTTTTATCAGCTAAAATGTCTGCTAACACGTGAACGAGTTTGACTTATGTAACCAGACTTTAGAAGATACGTGCTGTCAAATATCGACTGACTTGAAATTCACGGTTTTTCTCTGAGCAGCTGCTTTAATTTCAAACGCAACTTGTTTTTGTTTTGCAAAACTGAAAAGTTTTTCTTATATCAGACGGGCTTGTTACTCACCTCAGGCAAAAGCTCAATCAGTTGCTCCATGCCGCCTCCCGTTAGCGTTTTGTTCTACCAACAGAAAAAGATGGTGATAAATCTCCTGAGATGTTTCTGGTTGCAGGTGCACGTGGTCAAACGCACAGCGAGGGACTTACTGCAGTGCTGCCACTCAACACCTTCATGAGGACGTCTGGAGGTGAAGAAGAGCACTCGCTTCTCGCTTTTGCCTCTTTAATTTTCCTGTTTCGAGAAGGACAATGCTTTTGTTTAGAAAACCAGCGTTCGTCTATCACATGTTTGGGGTTTTCTTTTAAATTTCGCATTAAAAAAAAACTTTCTGATTGACGTTTTCATAGGTTCAAATGAAAACAGAGCATATTTCGTTCTATGAAGACCACATTAGGAACTGATGAATACATTTTATTCTTATCTTACTTGACTTTTTTTAACGTGCCAACAAAATTATTAATATATATATAAGAGGATTAACAGTCTAACATACACATAGTCCAACTTTCAGCAAAAATGCAAAGCTAAAGTTTATAATCTAACCATTAATATGGAGAATAATCTGGTACGTACCTGTGAAGAGTTTCTAACCAGCGTTCTTTCACCTCAGGGGAGCTGTGGGCGAAATAACAGCATGGTACGAGTTACTAATCCACAGAGAGACTCGGACGAGCTGCTTCAAATGACAGTGGGTGGAATGAGAAGAAGCGTGCACCCACTGCCTCTTTTAACAACTCTGGTGGAACGAGCATCACAGTCATGGGAACAGGAAGCAGCGTCACGGCGTGCCCCGACCAGACACCTTCCACTTCCTCACAGACTGAAGCGATGCCGTGGCTTCTAGTCCACCAGTGGAAACCGGGCGATACGACACGGATACGATCGCCTACATCTGCACCTGCAAACCTTTACTTTTTATTAACCTGATTTTAGATTTCATGCCAGCCGCTTGGCTCTCATGTCGGGCAGGAAAACCATCGACGTGCACGGTTTCTCACAGACTACATCGCAGAGGGAGTGAAACTTTCGCACAGTGAATCATTTCCAAAGTCCATTCATCCAATGAGACGAGGGCTTCTTGTTCCTCAACAAAACAACTCGAAATCTTACTTCGGTATTCATCAGCTTCTTGGAATGCAATAATGAATGAAAAACGAGCTTCATTCACACTTCGGCTGCATGTTTGCGAGAAACGTAGGAGTCAGCGATAAACTTAAATATTTGTCATTTGGTGCCACTTGGGGGGCTTTGATCAGAAATTTACAAGTAAAAGCCCTTTTGTTGCATTTGAACCCAGACTAAAGAAAAATAACTACTAAAAAAAAGAAAGAAACTTCCAGGTGACCTGACTGACCATTGTTGGATTTTTTTTACCTGGATTGTTGAGCATGAACTTTGATGCCTTGAACCACTTTGGCTGTGCCTGGGAGGAGTCGGGGGAGAGGACAGCCCCCAGAAACCATCTTATGACCAGCAAACTGGTTTGATCACTGCAGGAGAGTACTGCTTAGTGGGGAAAACAGTTTGTTTGGGATTCCTCAGACTGATGAAGTCCTACGGATGGAGGACGAAGCGTCTCAACAAAAAAAAAAAACGAAATTGTCCAGATGACCTGACTGAATGTTTGAAAAATGACTACTGCTTCTTCTGCTCTTCACCCTTACAGTAAGAGCTGGTGTTTCTTGCTAAAGTCAGCTCACATGAACGCTGGAATAGTGACGATGTCCAAACTTCCCTATTTTTTCAATTCAATTTTTTTGTTTTTGTCTTGTGATGCTGCAGGGATTACTTTCTCTTTGCTACTTCCCCATTTCCCTAAAGGTCACAAATCATATGACCGTTTACTACGAGGTGTGCACATTCACCTCGTGTTTGTTTCAACCAAGAGCTGACCAAAAAAGAGACACTGAAAATGAAACTTAAAGAACACGTTTGCACGTAAAGTTACCGTTTAAAGTCAAAATTCACATTTTCAGAAACGTTTTCTTGCTCATGCGCACGATGTGAAGGCAGACCATGACTTATATTTCTTACAGCTTTAATAGAAATAAATCTGACACCACCTTTCATGGGACTTTTAGTTTAAGATCATTCTATCATGAAAAAATGACGGCATTTTAGCCTTTTTGATCAAATTCCAAAGATAACGTTATGCACGACCACACATGATAAAATAAGACGTTGCATAAATTGTCCAGCGGTTAAAGTAAAGTTTGTGTTTTGGATGAGTCAACTACGACAACAGCAAATTATACATCAATGTCTGTAAAACTGACTGAATTATAACCACTTGTTTGCCGAGGCTCTGGTGGATAATCAGATTTTTTACAAACCTAAACGAACTAAGAGATAGGCAGATAAATTACCGCCTTTTGGCCACGGATGATAAAGTTCAACTACAGAAATTGCATTTTCTGTAAAAATGCAGTGTGAATGCTTATTGCAGAAGAAGTTGCTGACAAACAGCTGAAATTAGCTTAAAAAAAACATGCTTAAATGTAGCTGAAGTACAAGAACAAGCCCAAGTTAGCAGAAGAAAGCAGAAAGAACACATATTTGTTGAATTAAGTTTAAATAAGCAAAAATTAGCACAGAAATTAGGACGTTAGCAAAAAAGCTGAAATTAGCAATAAGTATATGAAAAGGCAGAAAGAAGCGGAAACTACTAGACAGAAGGAGCTGAAAAGGATCAAATTAGCATAAATAGCTAAATAGTAGTTGAAATAGCAGAAAAAACTGAAAGGAGCACAAGCTGAAATGGTCAGAAAGAAGCTAAATGTGCTGAAAGTAGCAGAAATTACCACAAATAACTTGAATTTATCTGAAAACAGCTGAAATTAGCTAAGAATGCTAAAAAGGTAGCTGAAAAGGTAGAATGAGCTTAAATAAGCAGAAGAAAGCAGAAAGAACACGTTTGCTCAATTAGTCTAAAAGAAGCAGAAATAAGCACAGTGGAAATTATCTGGAAAAAAGCTGAAATTTACAAAAAATGGTTGAAAAGTAGCTAAAAAAAGGCAGAAAGAAGCTAAAGTTACAAGAAGGAAATGGAGAGAGCATAGCATTTTTTTTTTTTTTTTTTTTGCTGAATTGGGTTGAAAAAAGCTGAAATGAGTGCAAAAAAAATGCAGAATTAGCTGAAAAAGCTAAAATTATCATAAAAACAGCTAAATAGTAGCTGAAATAGCAGAAAAAGCCAAAAGTTGCAGAAATAAGCTGAAAGGAGCATAACAAGCTGAAATTAGCAGAAAAAAGTTAGAAGAAGAAGAAAAATGTTGTAGTTAGCAGAAATAACATGAAAGGAGCACAAAACAGCTGAAAGTAGCTGAAAAAAATGTAAATTTGCACAAGGAAGCTGAAAGCAGCTGACCCAGAATGTGAAAGGCGCAGTAAAAGGTTGTAAACAGATCTAAAGATTTAAGGATGTAAAATGAGCTCCATTCATTTTTTGTGAGAAAAAAAAAATAGCTGAAAAGGCTAAATTTTTCAAAAAGCTAAAGTTGCACCAATACCAAAAGTCGTAGCAGGATTGTCCTGAAAGAGCCGAACGTTTTGATCATTTGTTGAAATAGCTTGAAAACTACAGGACGAGCATCACGCTGAAAAACATACAGAAGAAAAATGGATCACAAGAGAGTGAATGCTTCATAAACATTCCCATAAAGTAAATTCAGACAGTGTCAAGAGAAGGCGTGCACACGTGAGTAATGGTCGCATGCAGTGCCTCACAGTTCCACAAATACACAACCGAGTTAAAGACATCGCAGCCAGTGGTGTAGTCTACATTTCTCTACTGGGTATACTGTGCTTAGAAACCAAAGTACACCAGTTACTACAATGTAATTGTCAATTTATTTTGCTTTTTAAGCGTATTGAACATTTCAAAGTTTCTCTGATGCTTATATTTGAATAAATGTACAACAAACTTTGTACAACTGTAAGCTTTGTATTAAAAAAGATGTTATAGAATTTATAAAACGGTAGCAAAACATGTTCAAGTATTAAGTAGTGAGTATAAGTATTAATTATACCCAAAAAAACAGGTTGAACCAACTCAATGTATCTATAAAATGTTCCAAATCTGTTGACAATACATACATATGTCACATACCATTGGGTACTTTTAAGTAGGTATACTGAAATTCCCAAGCTTTTCTAATGGGTATATTCCATATACCTGTGTATCACATAGACTACACCACTGATCGCAGCATTTGTGAAGTCGTTCTCCGCACGGCCTCTCACCGGAAACACACGAGACAAAAAGTGAGAGCCCAGGCCAGGAGGAGAGTCAGCCTGAGGTCGATGTCTTCAGCCGTTCCATCGTCGTCACCGTTCTCCTGCTCGTCCTCAAAGCCGTGAAGCCAGATGTCCTCGAGGTTCACTCGGTGCTTCACACAATAACTGGCTGTCGACCTGTTTCAAGCCGAGCAAAAAGTCCTGACTGGTAAAACAAAGCATAGATTTTGTACCGTTGCGACAAACGCAAAATGATCAAATGGGCTGATATTTGAACACGATCCCATTTTTCCCAATTATTGAAATCCCACCTGAAAGTTCCATCTCATAACTTGACCTAAATCAATGCAGCTAGAATGAACTATGTGAGTAAAAGCTGCTGCCACGTGACCGAACAAGTGCCAGATAAATGAAAACAGAGTGATGTACGCTTTGAATCATCCGTGGAAGTAATCGTCGCTCACACGCGTGTTTACTGTAGCCTGCTGTTGTTCCAGCTGTGCCGACCTACAGGAACAGTGGGCAGGACGTGCTACAGAGATGACTGATGATCCTCCCACACAAAGAGCTAAAAACCTCCACTGAGTTCAACAATCTAAAACATGAGACCACGTGTCGCCATCATTTTTTATGAAGGCAAAGTTTCACTGAAAATGATGTTATTTTTTTTTAGGGAATGCCGTTGAGATTCCCCTCTTCAGCTAACTTCTCTTAAATGGAAGCGCTTGCTTTCTTTTTCTATTCAAATCAGAACGACTAAAACGTAACTGGAGAGCCCTGCTGGGAGAGTCCCCAGCAGTCCAAACGTGCAGCCCAGTTTGTTTTAAACTTCCCTTTTTCACTTTGCAGCTTCAGCTGTAGAAATATACAACATTCTCACCCGATTTGTTTTGTTTTTTTAACATGAAATTCAGAAAGTGTTATTCCCCTAGCCGTATTTGTTTGCTCATTTCTGTGTTTAGAAGTGGCGTTTTGAAATCCAAATATATCTAAGCAGTTATTTATAGTAATTTATAGGAACATGGTGGTTTCTTACTTTAGTTTAGCGAAGACGATGGCATCACTGAAGAGGAACAGGTGTCTCTCCCTGGTCTTCGTGCCCTCTGTGACCTGGACGCACTCGTCCAGCAGCAGCTCTCCGTTCTCGCTGGTCAAACCGAGGACGAATGGACTCTGCTCCACAGAAACCCGGCCTGGAGCTTCCTCCCTTAGAGCCAAAGGACACACATGTTGAGAGGACAGTCCACAACCTGACCAGTCTAATCTCTGGCCCCTTGTACCATGAAAACAAAAGTTTGCACATGCAGTAAACGTTCTGTAAAAGACAGAAATTCTCACATCCCAAGACTTTGCGTACGGCGGGAAATCACCCGAAGACGAAGCTGCTGAGTTGACAGAGGTTTGAAAACCAAACAATGTGAAGCATTGACAGTATTTAATGGTACTTGTGGAAAATTAAGGAGAACTTCTTGCTTTATATTGGGTTTTTTTCTTCCTTTTGAAGATATTTTGTTTAATTTGGTTACAGTTGATAAGCTAAAATTTGTAAACTAGTTAGCAGCACTGGCTTTAAACCAGTGATTAATTTGAGCCGGATCCTGCCGGAACAAGATCCGGTAACTCCCTCATTCTGACCGACTGCGTTCCGGCAACTGTTTGCTTGGATCCGGCAACTCAAATCTCCGCCCCTAAAAGTCCAAAGTCATCACGCGTTTTTATTTTGATTATTTATTTAAAAAATACAACGAGAGGAGACATTGCCCAGTCTGTGGAGTGGATGTTCCGGGCGCACTACGCGCACACGCTCGCGCACACATGCTCCTGCCCAGCAGAGACGCAGACCGCATGTCCCGCAGGGAGCGTCTTCATCCACCTTCACAGGTGGATGAAGGCGAAGGGACAGGTGAGAGTGGGCGTGGCAAGAAGGAGCAGAAACTGAGGAGAAATGAACTGGTGACATGGGGAGAAAACTACAACGTAAAGAAAACAAGAAACAAAACAGGGAAAATAAATTTAAAATAAGAAACACAAAAAACTTCCTAAACCCCCCCCCCCCCCCCCCCACCCACCCAAAAAAACAGATCCTGACAGAGTTTGTGAAACCAGTTTTGGTGAACACGCTTCCCACTGTGTCTCAGTGGAGAGCTGAGATTCAAATTTCTTTTCACCAGAGGTACTTTCCCTGTCACCTATGTGGCCTACTAAAGATGGCACCTAAAATACCGAAACAACAAACGTGTCCTGATGCATGCTCAACAATCCAGGTAGATAAATCCAACAAGGTTGAGTCAGGTCCTCTGGACGGATTATTCTTGGTTGAAACGTTTCATCTTTTATCCAAAAGCCTTCTTCAGTCTGTGGAGCAGCAACAAACAGTCTTATAAGCAGCATCTTCTCATAGTGGATCAACCAGTTTGCTGCTGATAGCCAAAACTAGTTGTAAACGTGAGCTCCATCTGCCTAACAATTGATTGTTTGTGCCCTGATAGCCACTTGCTATTCACAGGGGGCTGAGTGATACTAGCAATCACAGCATTGTAAGAGGGGGACAGTTGAACACGGAGGCCTCCACCCCTGTTTAATGATGGACGATTTCTTTTCACAAAGATGGCCTCCTTTACTCCTCTCTCAAACCATCGTTCCTCTCTGTCCAGGATGTGAACATCTTCATCCCTGAAAGAGTGACCGCTGGCCTGGAGATGAGTGTAGACCGCAGAGTCCTGGCCTGATGATGTTGATCTTCTGTGCTGGTCCATCCTTTTGGCCAGTGTCTGTTTTGTTTCCCCGATGTAAGACTGATCACAGCCCTCCTGACACTGAACAGCATACACAATATTACTCTTTTTGTGCTGGGGGACTGGATCTTTGGGATGAACCAGTCTTTGCCATAATGTATTTTGGGGTTTAAAAGCCACTGGGACGTTATGTTTAGAAAATAAATGTCTCAGTTTCTCTGATACTCCCTCAACATACAGAATGACCACTGGTCTGAGTCTGGATTCCTCCTTTTCACCTGATGGCTGGCTGGAGTGCTGTTTGGGTTTCTTCTCTGCTTTCAGGAAGGCCCAGTTAGGATATCCACATTGCACCAGGGCCTGTCTTGTGTGGGATTTCTCCTTCTGCCTGGCTCCTGAGTTAGTGGAGACGCAGTCTGCTCTGTGGTACAGAGTCCTGATGACTCCTAAGTTGGGCTCCAAAGGGTGATGGGAGTCAAATCGCAAGTACTGGTCTGTGTGGGTGGGTCGGTACTAACAACAACCTAACTAAAAAACACTCTGTTTTTGATTTAGTAGATAAACTATGTTGTTTACTGCACAGTGTTGACAGTTCATGTTAGCTTGGCTGTACACGTGGTTTTTCAGGGGAATCAATGGTGGTAACCAGAAAACAAAATCAACAAGACAGTTCGATTAATCAATTCAATTCAGTTTATTTATATAGCACCAAGTCACAGCATAAGTCATCTCAGGGCACTGAACAGAAATATTTATATATATATTTAAATAATTTAACACTATTTATCTGAGGAGAAGACTGCTTTGAATTTAACTCCGTTGCAGATCTTGAGCAAGCATGAAGGCGACAGTGGAAAGGAAAAACTCCTTCACGAGGAAGAAACATTTAGCAGAACCAGGCTCAGGACAAGCGGCCATCTGCTTCGACAGGAGAATTATGTTACCAGGGGCTCTAAGATGATCACACTAACCATAGTTTCACTCTGTCCTTTAATTATTAACCTTTATTTAACCAGTTTGAACAAAGTAGGGTAACTGTTTAATTTTTACTAAAGCAAGCCTGTGTTAGTGTAGTTTGTTCTGCTGGCTGTTAGCTCATAAATCGGGTCAAAATTAAACTATTTCTCCAAAATGAGGTCATTCACAGAGCTATCTGCAACAGGTAAGATATTAATTGTTAATAAGCCTTTTGTAGAACACCACTCCAAGTTATCTGAACATATAGGTTCTTTAGCTTTTAGCTAGTCTTTTGATACTTTGAGTTTCCAGCTACAGTTCTGCTGTTAGTTAGCCTTTGATACATTTAGCTTTCAACAAGAGCTTGGCTAGTTTTAGGTAGCATTTAGCTACTTTTTAGCTTGCTTCTTTTAGGCTTAACTCCGTTTTAGCTTTATAAGCAAATTTCTTTTAATGTCATTGAGCGCTTACCACTGCGTTTTTACAATTTGTCTCATAAAAACTAAAGTTTTATTAATCATAGTATTTAGTATTACATACACAACAACAATCTAGTATTAATGTCAAGTTTTATTCATTTTAAATAAATATGAAGGGCGTAAGGTCTCCTTTTTCTTTGACGTACTTTGTCTGCAGATGTCAAAGGTGATCACACTGCAGTGAAACTAACACCCCCGCCCCGTGATGTTCAGGGGTGGACCTGTGAAGGTGGGACGTTCGAGATATTATTCTGATCTGTCTCACTTTGAAGCAAGGACTCGCCCACGACTTCGGGGGGTCTTCAAGCAGCTTATGATGATGACTCTGAAAGGTTAAACAAACAACACGGGGGAGATCCAGAACCCACGGGTCTGACTCGATGGAGACGTGACCGAGCTTTTCAGGCTGTCAGAATATAAAACCTCTCTTCTGAGAAATAAAGTGTTTTCTGTACAAATAATCTGCCTTTTCCTACTAAGGTCCTGATCTCCACACGTCCACGTTCCTCCAACACCAGAAATAACTACTGTAGTAACTTTTTTAGTTTGCTGATCAAGTTAGCCGTTTTAAAAATAGAACAGGAACATCTAAACCTCTTTCACATCTGAAAAGGACTAAAAGTGAACATAAAGAACCTTTAATGAACGTTTCAGACCTGCCTATCGCCCGCCGGCTGCCTCGCATGCCCAAGTTTCCGATCTGTTAGCCCTCAGAGTATGTTTTGGGGATAACTCTCAGCTACTAAACTATCACATTTTAGCTTAATATCTGTAAAACTGACTGAGTTCCAACTACTTATGTGCTTACTAAGGTTGATTGGCTGTGGCGGCCATCTTGAGTCACTCCAAAAAATAATAGTTAAAAAGCTTTCCTGGGACATTTTGCAAACAGAGCAGTATATTTCACAGACTTCTTTGTAAACTGTGGGGAAGTGTTGTTCATTATGGTAAAGTGGGTAAACAAGTGAAGTTTTCAGAAGGTTTATGATATTAAAGTGAAACAGAAGAAGGAAGCAGCTTTTACAGAGTTGTTGTTTTAAAAACACCTCTGTCGGTGTAAATCCCCCGAGGGACATCTGTGCTTGTGGTCTGATGGAGGGGCCTGCAGCGTGACGAACACGTGGCGGTGTAAGTGTGTGGGCGTGTTAAAGGTGGGATGTTCAGGTTGTGTTCGTGGTGCTGCCATCTGTAGTCCGGAGGCTGCGGTTCACAAATAAACTTGTTTTTTCCCTGGCTGCTGCAACGTTTGACGTCTTTTCTAGACGTCCACCTGCTCAGATTGGAGCCCAAACTCAAAGTGACACATCTGAAAGACGTGAAAACATCGGCGATATTCACAAATGTTTGTCTTAAATGGAGGAAAGTGCTTCTTGTTGCACATTTCAAGACTTTACAATCAGGTCCGGGACTCAGAGTGAGTTTATACTTAGCGTATTTTTCGGACTATAAGGCGCAAGATCAATGAACGGGTCTGTTTTCATACATAAGGCATATAAAGCGAAACAAAACAGTCAGTCAGACTTTCTTCAACTCATTCACATTAACCACATAAAATCGGTTCGAGGTCAGTAAGCACAACCAGATTTAATACATAAGGCGCACCTGATTATAAGGCTCACTGTCCATTTTTAAGAAACTTAAAGTGCGCCTTGTAGTCTGAAAACTACGGTGTATAAAAACGCTTCAACCATTAAACAAATATATAAAAAACAAATAAATATAATTTACCTGCCTTTTAAGCTAAAGTTCTAAACTAGGATGATATGAGCAGAAATGATGGAAGCTGTTTGGAGTTGTGCTGTTATGTTGTGAATTACTCTCAGCTACTGCCAAACCAAGTTTGAGCTCAGCATCTATGAAATTGACTGAGTCACAACTATTTTAGTGGTTTCAAACTATTGTTGGTTGTGGGAGCCATTTTCAATTGGGTTGGCTATGAAAGTGAATCACTTGTAGTTGTGCATGGAATGAGGATTTCCTAAAAGATTTGTGGAAATCCGTCCAGTGGTTTTTGAGTTATTTTGCTAACAGACTGTAACACAGAATCAAAGAGACATAAACATTATCATATGTCATCCCCTGGGAACAAAAACTCGATTCAAAATGCGAAGTTACAAATATTTTAAATGTTCATGCGAAGCTTGAATGTTTCATTGTGGGAAACTTTCCTAGCACGTGGTTTGACCTTTGACGTCATGCTTTGACCTTCAGCATATTTTTGGGCCTGGTTTAATAAATTAAAGAGTCCCACCTGATCAGGGACCACGTCATCCCCAGAGCTTTCCCAAGCACGAGCGATGGAGCCGAGCGTCGCCTCTGAGCCAAGTGTCTGAAGTGCTGCAGGAAAACAGAACATGTTTTATGTGAAATAAATGTTTAATTATTACCGTATATTTACCTGCTGCATCAGAAAGTGTTCCCTTTACACTCAGGTGTTTTGCATCAGATCAGACTGTGACTAAAACAGTAGACCACAAGAGTTAATGTTAAAGTTTTATGCCAGTGACTCACATAATAACACTTAGAGTTTGTGTTGTGAATGACTCTCAGCTACTACCACAGCAAATTTAAGGTAAATATTAGTAAAACTGACTTGAGTTATAGACATTTTTGTGTTATTTACATTTACCTGGCAGTGACGACCATCTTAAAATATTTGGACTTCCAGTGAAAAGCACTTGTAGAGTTCCATCAAATAATTATTTCCAGAAATTTTTATTTAAATCTGGCCATTGGTTCATGAGATATTTTGCTAACAGATAGAGAAAACCCAATCAAAATCGTTCATGCCAAATTTTTAAACAAAGAATAATCTGTTAGCGCTCAGAATATGTGTTGGGGTCAGTCTCAGCTACTACCACACTGACTTATTGATCAATTTTTGAAAAATTGACTCAGTTATAGGTATTTTAGTGTTTGTAAGGTCAGCTGGTTGTGGTGGCCATCTTGAAGTGGGTTGGCACAAAATGTTAATCTAACTTTGCTTTTCTGCAAGTTTCATTAAAGTGGTTCGTGAGCTATTTTGCTAACAGACGCACGTACAGGCAAAAACATAGTCTTCCTTCGCCTGGTAATGCCGTTAAACAGGTGTGCACCTTAAATTATTAGATTTTAATCTGAAGTGAAGCGTGCAGATTATTTTTGTGCTGAGCTGAGCCATGTGGCTGCTGTTTTGGGTCAGCACTCACGTCATGTTGGTGTTCTACACCGCTGAAGCCCAGTCAGGTTCAGATACGCTGTAAGTCAAGTCAAATTTATTTATAAAGCACATTTAGAAACAGCAGTTGTTGCCAAAGTGCTTAACAATAAGATCAAGGCAGTAAATTAAAGACGAAATAACACCAAAAATTAATTGCAAGCATCAAAAGAAAAACATAAAAACACAAAACCATAAAATACTAAACTAAATCACACTGTGTTAAAAGTCAGTGGAAACAGATGTGTTTATAAAAGAGATTCAAAAACAGGAAGTGAAGTGATCTGCCTAATGTTGGGGGCCAGATTGTTCCAAAGTTTAGGGCCCGTGACTGAAAAAGCCAGATCTCCTCTTGGAACAACCAAAAGCAGCAGATCTGATTATCTCAGCACCTGAGAAGGAACAGGTTCAAGTAGCTCAGAGAGAAATGAGGGTGCAAGGCCATTTAGGAACTTAAAGGTCAACAGGATAATTTTAAAATCTATTCTGATACATACAAGGAACGAGTGAAGGGAGGATAAAACTGGTGTACCATATTTTTCGGTCTATAAGGCGCACTTAAAATCCTTTAATTTTCTCAAAAATCATCAGTGTGCCTTATAATCCGAAAAATATGGTATGCTCAAACCTACAAATTCCATTAAGAGCTGAGCTGCAGCATTTTGGATGAGCTGGAGACGTGAAATGGAAGCCTGACTGACCAACATAGAGTGCATTACAGTAGTCCAGTTGGGTTGTAATGATGGCATGAACAGTTTTTTTAAGGTCAGATTCAACACTGACTTAAGCTGAACTATGTGCCTTAACTGGAAGAAACTTTTCTGCAGGACAGAGTTAATTTGCTTATGAAACTTAAAGTCAGAGTCTAAAACCATCCTGAGATTTGTAACAGACTGCTGACATGGCTCAAGCGAGTCAAGGTTTACAGGAACAGAGACAGCAGTAGCGCTAGGGTGAAACACAATTACTTCAGTTTTCTGATTGTTAAAACTTAAAAAAAAAATCCATGCCTTAATGTCATAAAGACATTTTAACAGAGGGTGAACAGAGCAAGAACTATTGGGTTAGATAAGTCTGACAATCATCAGCATAACAGTGAAAAGAACGACCATGTTTTGTCAGGGTAGATCCCAAAGGGAGCAGATACAGTGAAAACAGAAGGAGTCCAAGAATTGAGCCCTGCGGAATCCCGAAAGAAAGAGGTTCTGAAGCAGATAATGTAAAATCTGAAACTCCCTCCGGTGCAGCTAAATCAAATCGTCTGGTTAAAATACATGTAGAAATGAGACCGGGCCTGTTAGAACAGTCAGGCTTTGAGCGGAGGCAGAGATCAACCACGCATCGATTTCTGTCTAGAACTAAACACACAATCGTGTGTTCACTTGTTTGAAAAAGAAACAAAAAGTGTTTTTTATGCCAGCGTGGCTGCTTTTGTGGCTTTAATTGCTGGATTGAGGAATTAAGTGAAGCCAAATTAGAGCTGAGGGAAAATGCGACAAAACAAACAGAACTTGGAATGCTTGACGAAAAGCGAGCCTTTCTGCAGCCGGAGCTGCTCAGTGAGCCGAGGCCGGGGCGACCGAAACACACCCGGCTGCTTCACGCTCGTTACGTCTGCCGTGGGTGTAGGTCTTTACAAAAGTCCAGAGGAAAGGCTTGTTTCTTTATGTTTTGCTTCAAACGAGCCACTTTTTAAATCCTGTGTATGTTCATATGTCTGTTAGCAAAATATCTCACAAACCTCAGGATTAATGAAACTCTCCAAAGTAATCTGCTGTCTGCATCTGATTCACTTTTGGAGTCGACTTGATTCAAGAAGGCTGCTACAGCAAATAAAATAAGTGGTGCACCAATGTGTGTCCCTTGTCACTGGGGGAGTTGCAAAGTGAATGTTTGTAGTTTTTGAGACAAGTGTTTTTCTGAAATTAGGGAATGCAAGTAATTAAAGTTTTTGGTGCAAGATATTCAAGAGGGGAGTTACACTGTGTACAAGAGCAGAGGTTTTTTTTTTTTTTGCTTGCCCACATCGATGCAGAGTGATGGATCCTAACGAGCGGAGGGAGCAATTTTATCCACCACAAGGCCAACGGCGGAGCCATGGGGTGGCCAGTGGGGCCCTGGGCCACCATAGATTAATCATAGACAATCTTAAGAAAACTATCTAAAAAAGTTAAATCTGGTCCTCTGGACATTCCAAAAAAAAATAATTTTTTTTTGAATGTCCAGAGGACCAGATTTAACTTTTTTTTTTTTTTAGATTTTTCTATCTGGATTATTGAACATGCATCAGGATATTAAGAAAACTATGTTTTTACACACATAATAGCTAGAAAACATCATTCTCTCCAATGACTGGGATGGCCAGTTTACATATTTAAAAAGGCAGTGGCCATCTTGGATTTTGATGTCCATCCATCCGCTTGTTCTGAAGTCGCATCTCGGGGGCAGCAGCTTGAGAGGGGAGACCCAGACATCTCTTTCCACAGACACCCAGCTCTTCTGGGAGGACTCCAAGGCGTTCCCAGGTCAACTGAGAGACATAGTCTCACCAGCGTGTCCTTGGTCTTTCCCGGGGTCTCCTCCCAGTCAGACATGCCCGAAGCACCTCCCTAGGGAGTCGCCAGGCAGCATCCTTACCAGATGCCTGAACCACCTCAATTGGCTCCTCTCAATGTGGAGGAGCAGCGGTTCTACTCAGAGTCTCTCCCGGATAACTGAACTTCTCATGCTGTCTCTAAGGAAGAGTCCAGCTACTCTGCACAGAAAACTCATTCTCATTCTTTGGTCACTACCTGGAGTTCATGGTCATACGCGAGCGTAGGAACGTAGACTGACCGGTAAACAGAGAGCTTTGCCTTACAGCTCAGCTGATTTTGACGTGGTAACCCGATGTTTGATAGTGACTGTGACACCTAGATGCAGCCACGCCAAAATGGAAGCACGTTGCTTATGTTCAAGTTGTCCAACTCACAAAACAGAAGGACGAATGGTATTTCCAAGCCCCACTCTTTGCTTCACGATGGGGGACACAAACGCCTACTTGTGCCTGTTTTACTTGTGGTAGTAGCTGAGAGTCATTCCCAACACATCCTCTGAGAGCAAATAGATCACACAAAAGGAGACTGTGCATAACATTATTTGTAAGGTTTACTCTGAAGACATCATTTCTCAACAAAAGATCATTTAAAGCGAGGGAGAAGCATTTTATAGAGGAAGGCGAGGCTTTTAGTCAGTAATAGTTTGGCCTGATCCAATAAAACAAGCAACATCTAAACAGTTCTGTCATTTTTTTAAGTCTTGTCCCATAAAATAAACACAATATCAGCTCGTTTGATTTGTGAGTCAAGACTCATTTAGTCCTGAACAGATTCATCATTCGGTGGTCATCAGTACTCACAGGGCGCAGGGAAATGGCAGCATCGTCAAAGCTCCCCCTCCTCAGAGCAGCCGCCGAGTAATCTGAAGTGTCCATGTTGGCGTCTCAGAGCGGCTCCGGAGCCCCCCCGATGTCCTGGACCGGAGCTTCTGTGCTCGGTCCTCAGTTTGTGCAAGAGGAAGTTCTGCTGAGAGAAAAAGTGGGAAAACAGCCTCGACTGAGCGCTAATGAGGGTTTGAACAATAGAGACCTGGCAAGCACACAAAAGAGGGGTAGAGGGGGGGGCTTTGTGCCCGACCTGGACCTGCAGTGCCCCTCAGCAACAACCCCTCCCCAGGAGCCACCTCCCTGTCTCCACCAGCCCGTACACCAGCGGGGCAACTTCCTCCCATAATGAGATCGCCGTGCGTCCAATTAGGGCCTCCCAGCTCGCCCCCGTTTCCAGACCGGCGAGGGGTTTGATGCTTCGATGGCCCAGACCTCCAAACAAACGGGGCCTCATGAACCTGCTGTGGGCCCCTGCTTCACATTCAACAGGTGCACGCCAAATTGCAGCTCAACGTCCGTAGAAGGGACGGATGCGTCTTAAATGTAGCCGACTCCAAAAGTGAATGAGCTGTAGATCCAGGGATCACTTTGAGTTTCACTGAAATCCGTCCAGAGCTACATGAGAGATTTTACAGGCAAAGCAGAGCAATTACCTTCAGCAGTGGGCGATAATTCCTTTTTAATAATGATGATTAAGAACCTTTAACTAAGAGGCATAATAATAAAAATCATCCTTTTTGAACTTAGACAGGCTGAGCCATCCGAGCCACTCCTCCTGTCCTGCTTCTTACGCAGACTAAACAACAATAAAGGCGTTTTGTCCTCCTCACAGTAGACCTGACACGTAACAACACCCCCCTGCCAAAGACAAACAACTATTGTTGAAGCAGAGATAAAGTTTGCCCCATTTTGGTTTGAAGCCTCGTTCGAAAGCTTCATATGGAGAGCCATTTCATTCAAAATTAAATAAATAAATAAATAAACAGTGTTATTTAAAAATTATTAATAAATATTCCAATAAATACATAAATGTTCCCATGAAATAAAACATTTAAATAGAAAATGTTTAGTTTTTTTTTTCCAAGATTTTTAATTTTTTTTTATTTATTTCAAGATTTATTTTTATTTAAGTCGAGATTTATTTATTTGTTTCAAGGATTCAAGGTTCTTTATGTCATACGCACCCCATGTGGTACATGTGGTGGAACAAAATTATGCACACAGGGTCCCAGTTACATCCAACAATAAAATGTAAAAGAAAACAGTAATAACATCTAAGATATGAACTAAGAAAAACATCAACTAAATATACACTAAGCACTAGTAGCATAATTAAATAAATAAATAAAGTTTTTTTTTTATTATGAATAAACATTCCATTAAATAATTAAATGTACCCATGAAATAAAGCATTTAAATAGAAATGTTTTTTCTCCAAGATTTATTTTTTATTTATTTCAATATATAGTTTTATTTATTTCAAGATTTATTTATTTATTTAATAATGGAGTTTCATTTTGTGACATTTTTTATTTTGTAAAGCTACTTTACATATTTCAGGAGCTTTTATTTTTAACCACGTTTTTTCATTTTTAGCGCTTTTTATTTCATGTTATATTCAAATGAGGGGGCGGGGTTTTCTCTTGTGGGGCGGGTCTGATCAGGGTCATTATGAGTTTTATAGGCGGGGCAAATCAATAACTAAATCTTGAACTAAATAAACAATAAATATTGGAGAAAAAACTAAACATTTTCTATTTAAATGTTTTATTTAATTGGAACATTTACTTATTTAATGGAATATTTATTAACGATTTATTTTAAATCATTTATTTATTTAAGTTTGACTGAAATGCCTTTCCATAATGATCATTTTGCTGTTAGGATTAGCAAACAGAACGAAACACTTCTTCTTTACCTGACACAAACACGGTTTGTTTTGTTCATCAAGCAGATTTTCACATTTCGTTCTTCATTTCACTCGACGTGCAGCTATTTAAACCGGATAAACTCCGGCCAGGAGACACTGAAACAAACAAACAGAACCTTTTACCCCTTCGTGGTCATCATTTGGAGCTGGCTCTGGAGGATTCACTTGAGTCTTGTTTAATGGAGGTTAATTGATCATAAAACTCTGCCTGTTTCCATGACTGGTTCGGCTGTTTGCCAGCTGAGATCGACAGCACCTTTTCGACAGAAACATGCAGTTTCCTCTCTGCTGTCATTATTATTTCTACGGTTTAGTGCGTTTCACCGACTACTTTTGACAACGTGTGCTGCTCCGTTTGAGACTTTTGCAGCAGTTTGTGGGTAAACTTCTCGACAAAGTCCTGGGAGTCGTAATTAAAGCCTGCAGCTGATTTGGAGTAACACTGAGCTGCTTTGTGGCTTCGCTCATCAAGGCCGCCTTTTGTCAGGAGGTTACATCACCGGCAACACGTTCACATTAAACATCTCATCTTTAAAGACCGCCAGCAGAATCAGAGCAGCTACTCCAGATCGGGGAGTTTAAAGTGAAGCTTTGGTCCTCTGTCATTTAAAACGTCTCCTTTCCTTTCGTCTTTTAGCTTCTTGAGTCAATTGTTTGGTTTCATTGCCGTGTTTGTTTGTGTGACTTCTTCACTCATGGGTGGGTTAAAGCTGGGAAAGCCTCATGAAGTCTGCATTAGATCAAATCTAATCAGGGCTTAATGAAGCCAGTTTAGTTTCCATAGCAACAGCCGGTGATCACATCCAATTATCTGTCATGGTGCCTGCAGTCAGTAATTTCTAATGGTTTGCTTGAAAAGCAAAGCTTCATGTGAAATGTTGAACTTAACTTTTTTTGTGCCTTTGTTTTCATTAAATAACTCAAATGTAAGGAGGCACCAGAACATGAAGATCACTGATGCTCGGAGGCAGCTAGGATTCAGGGTAAGCTGCCTGAGCTGTGGCACAAAAAAATGTAATCTGACTGAAACTTGCCGGGTGTTGTCCAGTGCTCATGTGCACCCCCACGCTGTATCCCCTCCAGAATTCATGGCCTGAAAGTTTACGTCCCTGTGACCTTTGAAGGCCCAGCCCAGGTACTGACAAACCCCAGAGCGATGCAGGAAAACATCTGGAGGAGGAAGTCTCAGTTCATGAATCATCTCTTCTGACGCGTGCTCCACGTTTCCTGGGAGGCCATCGTCCTTCAAAATAAACAAGTCAACAATCGAGTCGCCAGGCTAAAATGGCTCGTGGTTTTGTTGGCATGGTAACAGGATCATGGGATGATTATCCAGAACTGGCAGAGGCTTAAAATAAAATTTATAACTACAGCATTTTTTAGCTGCTAAAACATAAACAGGGCTTAATTTGTAAATAGATAGATGCTAGAATGCAAATTGCAGGCGGGCGTCTGGGGGTCCTCCTCCAGAAAATTTTGAACAAAGTAGATGCAATTTCTTGCATTTTGCTGTATTTTAACAGATCGTTAAACATCTACGTTTACATACATTTGTAAATACTCAGCTTCTGTCAAGCATCCCCCCTCCCCTTTACTTGATGGAACTGTCACTCTGTCCCCGTTCGTTGTTGTCCGACTCCACACGTGAAACATCCAGGCGGCTGCATGTGCTCCTGCCCGCGTACGACTGCCTGGTTAGCTCGGCACGCGCCCCCACCACACTTTTAGGAGCGGAGATTTGTTCAAGCGTAGACGCGGAAATTCTACTTGAAGGGGCAGATCATACAGTGTTGTGTTTAAAACGAGTGTTTATATAATTATTTTCAGTTTACCTATCCAGTATAAGGTTCGTTTGTTTCATATTTGTTCATAACTTTTTTATTAGTAAGCCTGACAGTTACTGAATCCAAGCGAACAGTTCCCGGAACGCAGCTGTCAAAATAAGTTTCCGGATCCTGTTCCGGCAGGTTCCAGCTCAAACTAAGCACTGGACGCCAAACGTCCATCTCCACTTCCTTTGAACATATTTTAACAGGCAGAGTTTGTACGAGTCTTTTTGGTACTCTTGTGTTGTCTCTTTTAGACTAGTGGTTTTCAAACTGTTCAATTTCTGACCAACAGAAAAAGGTACTCGTATCACGAAGACCAGTTGAAAATAATCATAAAGTGACACAATCAGCACATTTTCCCTCATTTCAGCGAGTCCTTGCATTTAAAATTTGTAAACAAAATTTGTGATCCAACGCCAACCACCACGTGCTTTTGTTAGATCTTTGGAAAGAGCTGGAGCGAGTAAAAATATGTCGACAACAGAGACATTCCTAGAAGGAGCGAGACCATTTTTCAAGTACTGGTACGTATTTCGGCTCGGATTTGTTGAGTAAAACGTGCAGAAAAAAAAAAAAAGATGACGTGACTGAAGCTTCATGGTTTTAGGCAAATTCACAAGAAAACCTCAAAAAGCCTGAAAAATAAAAAATCACTTTACATAAAAAGCTGGCGTTTTAGAAGCAAAACAAACAAACAATTACTTTTTTCCCCACAGCGCTGTAAACAAATTGTACAACTAGAGCCTTTAGGGGGAAAATTATTGCTTCTAAATTTAATTTGCAGGACAACAAACCTAGAGGCAGAATTATTATTAACTCATCAGTAACAAAGAGAAGAAACGGTGTCAATCCTGTACGTATGTTAGCAAAATATCTTATAAACTACTCAACTCATGCCACATCATGTCCCACTTTAAGTTATGTGTTATGGAAGATTCCTGGTTACAAACATACTTTAAAACTGACTGAATTACAACAGTTTTTGTGTTTTTAAGGTCAGCTGGTTCTGGTCTGAACCCTCCTGCTGCCCTTGGCTCAAAATGACCCATGAGGTCTCAGTCTGAAATACAAGGCCTCAAGGGCAGCAGGAGGGTTGAACTGTTTGCTCCACATGTTAAAGAGACATATTTCCTGAAGGTTTTTATTAAACTCCATCTTGTGTTTCATGAGATATTTTGCTAACAGACAAATAGCTAATGGCAACATTTTAAAGATCTTGTGCAATCTGCGCTCGGGATCGAGTTAAGTGATCAGTTTCATCGACTCGCGTCAATGTTTAGGTCAAAACATGTAAAACTGTTGGGAGTTGTAGCCATTTTTGTAGTTTTTACAGTTCGTTGGTTGCGGCAGCCATCTTGAATAAGATCAAATTGAAATGTTACAATGCTTTTTATACAGTAAAATAAATAGTGGTCATCCGTGCTGAAAGCATCTGTTGAAACAAAGTTACGGTGGCACTGAGATGTAAATTAACATAAAAATTTTTTAAAAAGAATTGCATTAAGCCAGTTTTTTTTTTTTTTTTTACTTTATTAACAACATGAAACAGAACAATGTACAGTAGGGTCATTCCTACTACTCGGTGCCTTTTGAGTCCCCATGCCATAATGTGGTACATTTTATTTAAAGGTGGGCTAATATTATTTTTATTACTCTCATCTTATATGTTTGACTCACCTCTAACCACAACCATATGTACACAAGACAAATTAATTTAAAATAATTAAATCTAATTTTAAATGCAACTTGGGTTTACTGCCATGTATCCTTTCATGCTTCCTGAAATTAAGTTACAAGTAATAAAAAAAAAAGAAGTCATTTTTAAAACAATCTTTTAAAATAGTACTATTTATAATAAGTCTTGTCCAATGACTTTTTACGATATAAAAATATTTTTTTATGCTTAAATTATTAAAAATAAATCGAGTCCCTGAGTCAACTGTCCACACTGTTACTCTGTCACCCGATTTGGCTTAATGTAATTCAGTTTTTTCAAATGTGTTTTTGTTGTACTTTTTCAAATGTAATTACGTTTTTTTAAGATATTTTTCATTTACACCTCAGAGCCAACGTACAAACTGCTTCAGTAAAACAACTCTGGAGACGTGAAGGCTGCACCGCCTGCTGATCAGCACCACGAACTACAACTCGGTTTGAATAAAACAGGCCGCCGTTCTTCAGGTAGAAAGATAAAGTAGACTTTATTTGTTGGTGAAACCTAAATAAGATCTGCGATTACAAAACAGGTTTCCCACACAGTTTCCGTAAAGTTCACAGAGGCTGGAATGCTGTATTTGACACAAAGGCATCAGAACAGACCGGACCTGACGGACGAGCAGAACAGACCAGACACTGAGGTTCAGAGGAGCCGATTTAACAACAACAACAACAAAACAAGAAAAACACCCAGAACTCCTTCCTATGATCTGTGGCAAACACATCGATGAGCTCCCAACATCAGAAACCTGCAAACAGGACTTTAAGAGTTCCTTTATTGGTTTCCTGCTGCAGTTTTCCAGGTTATACGGCGTCACAGTGCAGCTTGTTGGGACATATTTGTCTTATTTGAGTTTCTGGGTACAAAAAAAAAAGCCTTCAGATAAGAGACGAGTTTAAGTTGCTGCACTTCAGCTCTGAAAACCACAATGTTTCACGGACTGACTGCACAGAAACACTTTACTGAACAGAAAATCTGACGCCGAGTGGCATTTGTCCCTTTAAGTCGCCTCCAAACTGAATAAATACACCCGAAATATACACACCCACCAATCCTGCATCATTCCTGTGAGATCCAACTGATTAGGAACAGTTCAGCATCCTGGTATGACTAACGGCTTTATTACACCTGCCTGTGTGTTTTTATTTATCATCACTTCAGGGCAAAGTCAGGCTTTCATTTCATTTCCCCCAAAATGCTCAACTATTCCTAGAAATAGCCCTTCTTTGAAATCACTTTATTGTAAATAACGGTTTCAGCTTCACAATTTCAACCGGATGCAAAAATATTTACATACACCCGAAACAAAAACACCCACCTTAAAAATAAGTTTTTCTTGATTTTTCAATCAGCTTTAAATGGAGCTAATGTTGAGTCTTTTCCCGAGTCAACACTATGTTAGATATACGAGGTTAGTAGCTTTAAAATAAAATTGTTTATTTGGCCGTGATTCTTCTTTTCTAACAGAAGGCGTCTTCCTCTGCTCCTCACATTCATGCTTTCCTGCATATAAACGAGTCTCTGTAGAAATATATATGTATATA